ATATGTGTTGCACCTTGAATAACTTGTAAAAGATCATCATGCATTGATCCAGTTACATCAAATACAAAAGTTACACTGGATGTTCCTAATGGTGGATTTGTTTGATTAGAATAATCAATTGATAATATGATTATAAATATTATAAATATTATTGTTCTCATTTTGTAATTCATAATTGAATATAACTTTGATTATAGAGACAATTTCATGTGAATTATATTGTGCATATAGTTGTGTCTTTTGCGTATCACCATTCATATGCTCGCCTTTTCTGTTCTAATACAGTTTCTTTTTTTTTTCGCATATTGAGCCTCCAGGACACGTTCAATCGGCAAACGAGAGCGGATGAATTGATGACCTAACAGATTAAACCAACGTGTCACTAGTTGATCATGTATACAGTGGTATGCATGCATGCGTGCAAAAGAAAGCCTAGTGGGTGTATGAGCTCAATGTGAAGTTGTTTATTATTATGCCTCATTGAATGACCAATCGATTGATTCTTTTTTGTTTTGACTTGTATATTTAGACAATTTAGCCTTCAGGTAATATATGACTTCTCAATTATTCATGCGTTGTTCTAATTTTCTCTTCCAAATAAATCATAATCTTTACAGAAAACATGGAAACTAATCCTAAAGTTTTTTTCAACTTATTTTCATTTGTTAATTATTGTTAGATAAAATTTGAATCAAATAAATAGTATAGTTGCATGACAAAGTTCATATGTACTCAAACAAAAACTCTTTTGTTGCTAAACTTTTTCCTTCATTTTAATGTAAACTTCCTGCCAGCACATAAAATTTTTGACAAAAAAAACCAGAAACATCTGTCATATTAAAGTTTCTATTAATAATAATTGATGCATGGTTCAGAGACAGTTATATATATATATATATATGTGCATGTTATAAATCAAACGTGCTGTTTTTATGTTGACTGAGACTGATGTTAAATACGTGCATGGAATTACTAAATTCTAAATGAATGATTATCAACTTTTGTTGTTTGACGTTCACATTGATGTAATATTCCATCTAATTATAATAAACTACATGACGCATGAAAAAAAAATGTTGATTTTTTTTCTAATTATTTGAAAAAAGAAAGAAAAGAAATAAGAAAAAAAGCTCAATCTGAGTGATAATAAATATCGACAGAAAAATTTAGGTGAAAAGTTTTCTCATTGATTATTTATTTTGTATTAAATAAAAAAAAACAAGTTTTTGAACAAGAATCAAATAACATTAACTTCAAATTTACGAGCATTTGTGATTTGTCGTTATGATCTTTAATAGCTTATCTACATCTGCCATTTTGATTCTAGATTGCTCGTAAATATTCCCATGCCATTAAATTCATTTTTTTTTTCTACGATAACAAATATAAGTTTTCTATATACTCATAGACACTATCACCATTGGTTCTCTAGTATGCACGAACGTGAGTAGCATGAGAAAAAGATCTGAATAAATAAGGTAAATGTTTTACACATCAATACATTATCATTATCACCATTGTCATCGCCACTAGAAACAGAAACATTAACATAGCAAAAAAAAGAAAAGAGAAAAAGAATAACAAGAGAAATAAATCAAAAAATTTGCTACATGACAGAACTGTGTGAAATGTTACATTGGTTTATATACGCCATTCGATACATCATCAACTATTTCATTCGTTCTATTCCGAAGATAGAAAAAAAATTATAGTTATTACGTTTAGTTTTTACAAAAAAGCTCACGTTATCGTAATGTTCTTGTTCATTCGTTGCTTACGCCTAAAAGGCAGACAGATCTTTGCGGATGAAAGAACACTAATAACATCCGGAATACTTGCGCACATATTTCGACATAGATCTCGACATACCGTTAGAAAATATGAAGATTTTTTTCTTTTTCTCTCTATTATAGAAGAATAGCGTGTTAGGTGGTAACAGGCAATACTCAACTTTCTGGCTCATCATTCACAATAATACAGGTAAACGAGCACACCACCCATCAAATATAGATTTATTTCGACACTAAAGTTGTGATATAGTTTTTAGTGAACATGATCTCGAAAAGAAAATTTTTTTTATCATCTTTTACTTTATTTAGTAAATGTTTATAATCTAAAAATATTTATTGTCGACTATTGTTTATTTTTTTTTGCTTTTTTTGTCAGAAGTAGTATATTGATGACGTATGAAAGGTTTATCAAGTTGAAATCTATATTAAATTCAGAAGAAAATAATAATCTTGAGATTTATGTTTAAGATTTCATCGCAACAATAGAAAGTATTTGTCATGTTTTTTTTTTTTTCTATTTAATAAGCAATCTAAAAAGTCTAGTTCTCTAAGAAAATAACATTCAAATAACGATCTTTTCAAGAAGAGAGAAGAAAAAAAGTTAGGATACTATGATGTGTGAGACATTCAGATTACAACAACATTTTCTTATTTTTATATGTTCAAGACGTCAAATTTCTCATGTGACATTAGTTGCTATCTAATTGAACACGAGAGCAAGTAGTACTTATGATTGACATATACAGAAAAAAAGAAGAAACATGGGTTTGTTGCCGTGAATGAATGACGTTTACAAAGGCATGTCTGACGAGTCTATCTGCTCAGGCTGAATGATGAATAAAAAGAGTTCTATAACCAATTAGTAAGTTACATGAGAGAAAGAAAAAAGAGACAATGAAAAAAAAATGATTATTCTAACTAGAAAAAATATAAATGACAACAACAATGTGTGTGTGTCATGTTTCTAGTTTAGATGAATTACGGTTTATTGTATAATATGTGCAATAAAAACAAAACTATAAAAGAATAGACGAAGCGCATCATTGCATTTCATTGAACATATTCATCAAAATTAACACGCATATTGATAGTTAGTAATATTAAGATCAAAAGAGCGAAGTAAAATAAAAACTAAGAAAGAAAGAATATATATAGAACTACTCATGTGTATGTGCTAGCAATAAACTACTATATGGCAATTGGTTCATACTGAGCTGATTCCAAGAGTACTTGAAAAGCAATTCTCTCGTTTTCCTTCATGTTTTTTTTTTCTTTACAACTATTCAGTCGTCATGATATATACGACTTACAAGTGAAGAAAGGGAAATGAACACTTTTAGCGCAAATCTAACCACCTATAAAATGCGTAAAAAACTTATAACGAAATTACCAACACTTAGCCTCTATATAATTATTGTCGAATCTGCCTGTTTGTCAGTTTTTTTCTCTCACTCTCTCTGCTTTCACCGATTGACAAATTATGTATGCTGAGCAACTCTTCGATGTTGTAAACTTTTCTAAACAAGAAAACTTATATATAGAATCGACTACCTTCGTTAATTTACTATTCTCTACTTTGACTTCCTTTCTAACTTGCCTAAGGTCTTATCGTGCGCATCGTCTGTCAGGCGATCCATATCCTCTTCCTCCTCACTATAAAAAGTTTAAGGAAGTTCTTAGTGTGTATATGTTGCTCTATTGTTATGCTTTCGTTTCGTATATAACGGTATATAGAGACACAAACTGGAAGTCTCAAGCGATTTTGTCGTCAACATCATTTAATTCAATTCCTCGTAGGTTGTGCATTAACAGTAACAGCGGCCGTCGAACTTTTAACGGTGTTTTCTTTTTTTTTTCTTTCTTCTTCTTTTTCTTTCTCATCTTCTCACTATTCTCTTCATTTCTTTCTACACATCAACATTCACTGATCTTTTTAATACCAATTATTATTAGTTTCCTTCTTCGCTCTGCTTCTCATCTGTCGGTCTTTTTCTTATATTAGCGTGCAGCATCTGTGTTCAACAAGAAAACAAATTTTATCAACACTTTTATATTGATTTCACCTATAGACGTTTTCATCAAGATTGTTATTATTTGAACATATAAATTTACAACAACTGTGATGGATATTCAGGAAAATGGGGTATGAAATTTTCTTGATGATTGGACTCAAGAATAGAAAAAAATTCATTTTTTTTATCATAATTTATCGTTAACTATAGATACAAGAAAAATAAATCAAAAGTAAAAGATAAAACAACAGATTTTTACCTTTTTGATCATATATTGAACAAAACACAAAAAAAAAACATTTATATTTCTTCTACATTTCTTTTCATTCATTTAAATATTTACAACTTTGAAAGAATCTAATGAATAAAAATGATTATATATTGACATAAGTACCATGTTTTATCAATATTATTTTATTGAAACATTCATTGTGTAGACTTTTTTTATTTTTATTTCTCACATTGCGTTTCCAACGTTCCGTTTCATTTTTCCTTCTTTTTCTGCCTTCGTCTTTATTTGTTACTGTGCTCAACAACTATCCGTTCTTTTCTAACTATCATAAAAATCAACAAGAGAGAAAGGCAACTATTTACTGTTTATTTACTATTAATCATATTTTATATTAATACATGAAATTAATAAGAAAAGATCTCTGCTAGTAATCAATCTTGAATACGCGGTGGGACTTTTTTTTTTGGTTGGTTTTTTCACTTCGCTGCGTCATGAACATGCAAAACTCATGCATGAGCATGTACCTTATATTACTGACACTTTCTTTTGCTTATGCTTCGACAGCAGTACTCGACGACTGTAGTTCTTGTTTTTTCCTTTGCTCTTTTCTTATTGTTGCACATCCATTCATCAGGTTTCTCAATATTGCTGTGCATTGACACACTATAGTCGTTATCTTTTTCTTGTTAAAATAAAAGAGTCAGAACTATGAATTTGTATGATCTTTGAGTGGCTTAGTTTGTTTTTTTTTCCGTAGTTTTTTTTCTATAGTTAGTAACTTATAAAAAGCATAAGAAAAATGGATAATGAAACAAATTCTTCTTTTCAAAATTAATGAATAAAAATCAAAGTTTATACATATTCTATTATTTGAGTTTTGACCAGAAAGGAAAGAAAAATTAAAAATTTATTTAGGAATTTGATTTCTTATCATCATCATCGTCACATTGTTCGAAACTAATCAATATGACCGATCAAGATACACGTTATCGTCTTGTTCTACTTGGAGCTAGTCGTACAGGAAAATCATCTATTATTCATATGTTTTTAAATGGAAAATTTTTGGATACATATAAAGAAACTGTTGAAGATTTACATTATCGAGAATTTACTGTCGATGATAAAACAATTAAAGTTGATATATTAGATACAGCTGGTAAAATAAGCAAAAGCAAAATAATAATAATAATAATAAAGTTTTAAATTCAATTTTTCTTCATTTGTCTAGGTAATATGGAATTTCCTGCAATGCGCCGTCTATCAATTGCAACATCACATGCATTCATTCTTGTGTATAGTAAGTTTTTAAAAATTTTGTTCAAGCATAAATATAATTATTTTCTCTAATGGAAACATCTAGGTGTTGATAATATGTCATCATTTGAAGAAATCCGTCATATAATTGAACAAATAAAAGAACAACGAACGAATTATGCCGAAATACCAATTGTTGTTGTTGGAAATAAAACAGATCGTACATCTGTTCGTGAAGTTGAAGAACAACAAGTTCAAACAATGATCAATGAACTTGGTCCATTACATTGTCGTTTAGCTGAATGTACAGCACTCGATCGTGCATCAGTAATTGATATATTTCTTAAACTACTTAGTCTTGTACAATTATCAGCAGCAAGACAATTGAGTCCTATATTAAGACGAAAAGTCAGTGAACGACTTAAAAAAAAGGAATTTGATGACAAGAGTGACAAAGGTATTAATCGTAGTCGAAGTCTTATACGACGAACATCTATGAAAAAAAAATCAGCAACGTCATCTGGCGCTGATAAACATTCACCGGAAACACCTGATTGTTTAGTTTCTTAAATTTTATCTCATATTTAAAGTATTTTTTTTCTTTTCTTTTTTTTTCATACGTATATTCATGTTTAAACCTTCGTTTATTCTACTTTCCTTCTATGTCTCTGTTCTGCAAAATAAAAAAAAACAATTGTCAAATATAAAATCAGATTTATTACTTCAGGAAATTTTTATATTATACAAAAGAAGCGTTATTTCATTTGATTTTTAACAATATTTTTCAAATAGAAATATCACTTTTTATTGCTTCCTAATCACATTATTTTTTGATCCTTTGATCTTCTAAATAACGAGAAAAAAATCAAAAACATTCAATTGAACCGGCTTTACTTCTTGTACTTTGTGAATAATTTGTATTTTGTAATAATGATAGAATGACACGTAATCTATTCTTAGAATAGATAATTAGTTTATTTCTTATCTTGGCATAGACTTATTATAGAACTTCATGATTAAGAAGTATCTGTGAAAATGTTCCAGCACCAGCACCTTGTTTAGTTTCTTTATAGTCGAGATTTAGTTTCATTTCTTCAAGAATATCAAAAACACAGTAATAACTTTATGCTAATTACGTTAAATAAATAGAATCATTTTAACTTTTTTTAAAATATTGAATCTTAAGAAATAACAAGCATTTTCGATTCAAATATAACTTGAAAAATGATTGTAAATTATTTTTTGCCCTGCTTCTGAAATTTTTATTAAATGTGCATAGTTGCAATAAAATTTATCACTACTATAAAGTGAGTGAAAAGAAAAAATAAATAAAAAATATTATTTCTTTTTTTTGAATGAGTCTAACTTTTATAGAAGTTGAATATGCTAAGATATCATAGAAAAAAGTTTACATAGAAAATAATAACTTATCATACTTTGTCGTTTGAAAATAGTATCTAAATATATAAATCATATTCTAAATCATGGCTTCTTTTTCTATATCTATATTTAGTAGTAATAAAAAGTAATGAGATTAAAAGTCCTCTATATAATAGTACATAAACCAAGTTTGATCTTTTTATTTCAGGATATGAAAAATAGGTATTCTCTCTTGTAAATATATCTAGAATGGAAATCCTAACGAATAATTTTGTATGTTTGCATATTGTCGTTTCATTAATATGAAATTCTAAACATATATAAAGCAATGTTTAGTATCAACTGAAGAAAAATTTTCAATTAAAATAATTCTTCATTTGAGATTAATTTGCATCATGGTTTATGATCAAAAACCTAATTTATTTTTATCAAAGTTTGTTTTGAGTATTTTCATCATCGATAGAAATGTCGGTTTTCTTTTCTCTTTTTGTTCTATTCATTATTTTACATTGATTTCAGACTTCAAAAGATTTTATTATGTAGTATTATTTGTGTCAGACAATTATGAAAGAACAAAAAAAGATACTTTTAATTTGTCTATTGAAAATTTCATGATGTATCCTTTGGATACACTCGGCATATTCATTAACTGATCTATCTATTTCTTGAAAAAATAATTGAACTATTATTATATATTCATAATAAAACACGAAGGGCATCAAAGAACGTCCTTCACAATAATAAAACAACTAATATACTGCATTATGTTCTTGTTCATAAACACTATTAACAATCTCTTTGAAAAATATATTCAATTAATTTTATGAATTTAACATCTTTCATCACACCAAATGCATGTGCAAGGTCATTTAAATACTACACAATCCACGATTTAGTATTGCAAAGATTTATCTAAATATACTTTCTTCATGATAATAAATAACTAAATTTAAACGTTCTGCAGATATGACATTAATCTATTGTGTTAATATTTGAAATATTATCCTCACCATGTTGTAAAATAGCCTTTTTTTTCAAGGAGATTCTTATAATTAACAATAAAAGTTGAGAATTATTGTTACCGTAGAATGGCAAAAGATCTCTGAATCATAATTAAAAGGTGTACTCATTTTATAAAGAAATTACTTAAGATCATTCTAAAAACAACAACATTGCTGTTTTTTATCCGAGTAAAATGTCATAGCATATATATATCAAGTGGTTTGTAATAATGCCTTTGCATACGATGTATACTAGTAGCAAGAAACATTTGATTTTCATTAATAGTTTGTAACTAATGATGTAAAAGTACTGATATTTTTCTTTATGATTTTGTTTATCTGTAACATGGGAAAAAACTCATGCTTGCATTGAAGATTTTATGTCTTTTTAGTAAAAACATTGTTTTATTATTTTAGAGAAGGACTTATTTTTTTAAACGTACCTTTCAATACTGATTGTTCAGTTTCTTCGTCTCTCCTAAGCATCAAATAACAAGAAGATGCATTGATATACACTTACGATTTCGTAAATCTTTTTCTAGAGTACCGAGGAGAGAAAATCTTGAGAGACTTTACTAATCATTGGATGTTGTAAGCCTTACAGTATATAATCCTACGAAGTCGTAAAGATATCTTGCGAGGACACTTGATATGTTCCTTACTATATGATATCAACGCGTATTTTACATGATTCTTACTACGAAATTCTAGCAAAACCTAATGATCGAAGTCGTGTAAGACCTAAGATGATCTTATAAAAGCATAATTTTAGGTTTGTCTTGTGGAAATAGTCATTATAACCATAGTTTTATGCATTGACATTAATGTTTAAGCGATTAAGTGCATGCTAGTTTAAAGACTACAGAATTGAAAATACAGCTTATTATATAGTGATGTTTGTCTGTTACAAAATGACGCTACAGATCATTTTATTGATTCGATAAAATATATGTTATAGAAAAACCTTACGTAATCGTAAGAATTTTCAAGAATCTCATAGTATGATTTAGTGTAAGATACGAGTTTATTGTACGATTTCATCGGATCTTACAAGATTTTACGTCTGATTTCTTGATCTGGAGTAACTTAAATCTTGGCATATAAAATCATACAAGATCATTAACGATCTTCGAGCTATCTTGTATGATTATGGAAGATTATAAAGAAAGTTCCAATATGATCTTGCAAGAATCATGTCAGATCTTTTATAATTGCATTATTTGACCTGAGTACATTCATATTTCCCATGAATTAAATATAATAGCTACAATAGTATAATGACATTAAAATAAATCCAATACTCTTGAGACACCATGTTTTACTGTGATTAATGACTAATGTAGATGACAAATGGAATATGAAATGAGCTGGAGAAAGATAATCATTTAGCTGGACACTTGACATGACAACAAAAACAAGAGAATCACCAAAAAAACGTCAAAGAAAAAATGAATTATATAGTATCATCTAAATAATGACTGTAAAACGTAAAACATGCTCAAGAAAATTATTGATCGAATAGAATATTTATATATTCAGCGTGAAGTAAAATGACAACGACCAAATGACAACTGTGTGGAAAGAGATACGTAAATAATAAACTGTATTATTATGATTTTTGAATAGTATACTGCATCTGAAACACTTCCTTTTTTTATTGTTATTGTTAAAGTCAGTAATTTTATTTTGCTATTTTAGATCAAAAGCGACTTTTTTTTTTCAAAAGTCTAATTTTATTTCGCTAGTATTTATTTGAGCAATAAAAATATTGGAATGAGCAATAATTAAAATACAATTTAGCTAAAACTTTTAAGTAATAAAAAAAACTTTATCTGAGCAATTTTATATTATTAAATGTACAATAATTAATTCATTAAATAGCGTAGTAATTTCATATTTTGGCAATAAAAAAAAAAAGAAAAAGGAAAAAAATAGTATATTATTGTGTCAATAAAGCTTTTTTTGCTTTAGATGATCTGCCTCTTTTTCTATTTGTAATATTTTCCACATTTTTTGCCTCTGGTGAAGGTTTGCAATGTTTTCACCGAATGGATATACCAATGATGTGCTTGCAAAGATAATTTTTAAGGAATTATGGGCAAGTGCAAGTTGCTTTGAGTGTGGATGGATGTAAGTCTTAGTCTTCTCTTCGCTCACTCCCATTCCACATCCATATATATTATAATTTAAGAAAATTTTTGCTCACTCATTATAATTATTCTTCATTCAACATAAATATCGCTCATTGATTATAATTACTGCTCATTCAGTATAATTATTACTAAATTTAATTATTACTCATTTAAATTATTGTATTGCTCAATTAAATATAAGTCATTTTATTTATTGAAATTTGCTTTGAAAAATCTTAGTTGCAACACATGAGTTTCCGTGTTAGACTAATATCACACAATTTTTAAGTTGATCTTGACATTTGCTTCAACGTTAATTGACCTACATTCTTTCTAACATATGATGCAAAAGTGATATAACAAATATTGGATTCTATTTCTTTTCGATAAAAGAGTGCTTAAAAACTCTTTATTTATCAGAAGATAGACAATGTTTCTGTTTCGAATGTTATATAATTAGTTTTATCATCGACTCACAAATAAAATTTCGCAACGGAAAAGAAAAACATTCTCAAAATGGGTCCGCACCTTTCCTAAAATGTAAAATAATCATACAAAATATCAACTCTCATATTTCGCAAGTAAACACTCATTCAAACAATAATATCTTTTTGGATGACTTGATAGAAAATTTCCTTCTCTTTCGACCTGTAAATAACGTATTTTTGCTTTACATTCATACACAAACTGACACTAGAAGAAAGAAAAATACTCGTACAATGAATGTGTAATCTTTATATTAATTCATCAGATAAATCATATAAAATGGCTGAAATAATTAACTGTCGTTTTATATGATTTATTTGATGAATTAATATAACAATTACAAATTTGTTATGCAAATGTTTTTATTTCTTTTTGTATCATTTTCTTTATGAATGCATAACAAAATAAAGTTATAATCAGTTCGAAAGAGAAGAAAATTTTCTATCAACTAATCAAAAATATGATTGTTCCAATACGTGTTTACTAAAGACATATGAGAGTTGATATTCTGTATCGTTATTCTACATTATATGAAAATTTGGAATCCATTTTGAGAGTGCTTTTCTTTTCTCTTGTGACATTTCATTTATGAACATATGGTAAAGATAAATTATATACGATTTGAAAAAGAAAAATTGTCTATCTTCTGATAAATAAAGTTTTCGTTAGGCATCCTTTTGTCAAAGAGAAATAGGATCCCACATTTATTTCACGTAGGTGAAGTTAGCACCAGATTCGAGTAAATCCCGCCAAGATTCGCCCAGGAACATGTTCCAAGTACAACTCGATGAGCTCTATCGAATGGTGTATTCCAATTCCCGATAGCTCAAACACAGTCCAAGAAAATCAGAAAATACTAGCTTTTCACCATAGGTGATTCTGCATCCATCGACTAAAACCCGCCAAGATTCGCTCAGGAGCATGTTCCAAGTGTTCCATTCGTGTTCCGAGTACAACTTGACGCGCTCTATCGAATGGCGTGTTCAGATTTTCGATAACTCAAACTGAGTCGGAGAAAATTTGATAATACTAGTGTATCACCAGAAAAATGCTGTATTTTATGCAGTAAAACCCACCAAGATTCGCCCAGGAACATGTTCTAAACGTTCCACTGGTGTCCCGAGTACAACTCGATGAGCTCTATCGAATGATGTATTCCGATTCACGATAACACAGATCAAGTCCAAGAAAATCAGAAAATACTAGATTTTCACCATAGGTCATTTTGCATCCATCTACTAAAACCCGCCAAGATTCGCTCAGAAGCCTGTTCCAAGTGTTCCATTCGTGTTCCGAGTACAACTTGACGCGCTCTATCGAATGGCGTGTTCAGATTTTCCATAACTCAAACTAAGTTTGAGAAAATTTATAAATACTAGTGTATCACCGAAAAAATCCTAGATTTTAGGCAGTAAGACCTGCCAAGATTCGCCCAGGAGCATGTTCCAAAGGTTCCATTGGTGTTCCAAGTACAACTGAATGAGCTCTATCGAATGGTGCGCTCCGATTTTTGATAGCTTAAACCAACTCCAAGAAAATCAGAAAATGCTAGATTTCCACCATGGGCGATTTTGCATCCATCTACTAAAACTTGCCAAGATTCGCCTAGGACCATGTTCCAGGTGTTCCACTTGTATTCCAAGTACTACGTGACGCGCTCTATCCAATGGCCTGTCTAGATTTTCCATAACTCAAACTGAATCTGAGAAAATTTAAAAATACTAGTGTATCACCACAAAAATCCTAGATTTTAGGCAGTAAAACCTGCCAAGATTCGCCCAGGAGCATGTTCCAAAGGTT